GACAAAAAAAATTCCGACTTTTAAATTTTTCATCTGGCAACCCTGGTTCCATGATACATATGAGTTTATACAAGTAATAAAAAAGGAGCAAGTACAAATGCTCAAGTAATTCTTGTTCTTTATGGTGATAATAGAAAATCAAGAAATATTAAAGTAGAAAGGAATTCAGATACATTACAACAAGGTCATTGTGATAAATTTAAAGCTGATATAAATGATGTTGGTATACCATTTAAATTACGTGTTAGTCTTAAAAATAAAAATTTATCTATATCATGGCATCTTGATCGAGTATGAAGAAAAAAAGAGATATTCTCTTTTAATTTATTCAATGAAATTTTGAGATTCAAATGGAAGCTCTAAAAACAGATCAAGAATATATATTTCATTGTAGAAAATGGTTATCAAAAACAGAAGATGACAAACAAATGATTCGAGAATTACCAGCTGAAGGATTAGATATATCAAGATCTTTACCTATTGTTAAATATATAGTTGATGTATATACAGAAAATAAAATTGGTGCTGGTACTGATGGAAATATCTTTATTAATATTTATGGTGAATGTGGCGATACAGGAGGTTACATATTAGATTTCAATTTCACACATTTTTAATGAAAAAAGTCTTTTTTTATTGCAGTACGTCCATTAGAATATTCATTAAAAAATCAAGTAAAAATATATTTTAAAAATATTCATTTAAAAATTGTTTTTTATAGGTTGATAATTTTATTATTGAAGCTGTTTCATTAAAACTAATACGAAAAGTTCGAATCGGTCGTGATGGCATTGGTTAGTTATGTTAATAAAATAATTCTTTGTTTTTATTGATTTATATAATCAATAAAAAGGAGCAGGTTCTGGATGGTTTTCAAATAAAGTTGTCGTTCATCAAGAAGATGGACGTTATGAACCAACGACATTTATTTGCGATAGGTATCTAGCAGCAAAAACAAAACAATATTCTTAATAGATAAAAAAAATAAATTTTTAGATGACTTGCTGTTGATGAAGATGATGAGAAATAGTTCGTGAATTAATAGCAAGACAACATTTAGACATAACAACATATAATGTAAAAATAAAAACTGCTGATGTTTTTCAAGCTAGTACTGATGTTGATGTACATTTAAAAATATTTGGTGAGAAAGTTACTAGAGATAAAATTCAACTAATCACGTCTAAGAATATAAAAAGTAAATATGAACGCGGACAAAGCGATAGGTTTACAATTGACTGTTATGATCTTGGCAAAGTTTGCTAGTTTTTCTTTTTATTAATGTTATTCTAATATTGTCAATAGATTGAACATACACTTATTGGACATAATGGAAAAATTATTGGTGCACGATGGTTTCTTAATTGGATTGAAATTGATGTACCAAAACGTCGAGAACTTTATAGGTTTTAGTCCGTATATATAGATTATATGTTCTATATATACATAACGTTGAATGTCTGTTATCGGATCACAGACGAAATGGCAAAGATGAAGTCCAAAAATATTACTGAAAAGTTGCAAAAACCTACAACACCATTGAAATATATTAAATTTTAGAATAATTGTCTCTTTTGTTTTATCACGATCTGATGAGACTAATAGACATCGGGACAGTCTCACAGGATTCTGATATAAAATTATTGCCAAAGATAAGTTCAGCCCTTGTGATTTAACCGGGTCAAAACTCAAGAGAAAAAAAGCTGATTGCAATCAAAAGTTTTTGAAGTAGAATTTTTTACACAGGTCGTGAAATATCAAACCATCTGTTGCCTGAGACAATAGTAATTTGATTGATTTTACTTAGAAACTAATATCTCTCTCAAGAAGAATGTGACGTCGTGTGAAGGGTGTGGCTATTGTTGTTGACCACACCTACTTGAGATATGATGATGACTTGAAAAGTAAATTTTAATTGTTTAAAACTAAATTACTATGTTAATTCCTTATCGAATACTTAAAGTATTTTATTAGTATTCAATATGTATTACAAGTTTTACGGTATAGATGTTCAAAAAAAAAAAGCTTTTTATTCAATGTAAGACAATTCTTTTTTATGTCAAATTTTAGTTTGTTTCTTCTTTTTGAGTCACATAAAAGACTGGTTATTATGAACTACTAAACCATGGATTTAAACAGAAACATTATTTCAAAAAGATGCAAATGTGCTTCTCATCTGACTATTGTCTATAGCGAATGAAAAAAAAGAGGAAAGTACATAATGATCTTAAGGTCTTTTTCTTCCTTTAAATGATCGTAGAAAATTAGGTTATTCATTGTTTATTAAAAAATTAAGCATTTTTATAGTCTGAAATGTCTATTTATAATAAATAATTGAACACTTCAATTAGTATAATCGTCTTTGTCTTGAATAGTAATTTTATTTGAATAAAAAAATTTTCTGCTTGATTCATATAAGTAAGGAATCTCAGTTCGGCTTATCTGATATTAAGTATAAACAAATATTCTTACTTGCACTAGAAAATATTTGAAGAATGTTTTGCACCAAGCATTAGCCAAGAACGAACATACAATTTTTGATAAATTCAATGATGTTGAAATCAATTTTATTATTTAATTAATAGAAAAATTCATTTAAATGATTTATGAATATTATTTCTTGATTATTTATTTCATGTAATTTTTTTCCAAAAAAAAAGAAAAAAGAAAAGATTATACCAACGATCAAACGCATTTCAGAATTACAAAACAAACTCATTACAATGCACAATGTAATTTCTTTATCTTTATTTTTTTTCTACGAATAAGTTAATTGATCATTTGTACCAAAGAGCAAAAACAATAAGAATATTAGGCAAAAAAAATAAAAGAAATATGATTCCATAACTTAATATAGAATATTTTCTTAATCGTAAGTCGTCTCTGCTTATGAAAGGATATATTTAGTACCAGTAGTATGTGGATCATTCATGAATGTTCTCAGGTATGATCGATGTATCTCACGCAATTCATCACATAGACGCATACGCATTTTGGCATCATTGGCTAAATGTTCACTTAAATGGTTTTCAATAAGTGGACGAACTTGAGTTCCACTCGGACGACGATTAAATGACGTATGAGATTTATCACAAAGAAATTCACACAGTGCCGGATAATGAGGGATTTGAAGTAAATAAGATCTAGCATTGTTATTTCTTTTAGCTTTTTGTCGAATAATATTTTGTAAAGTTACTGGTAAATGAGTTGTTTCATCATCTTCCTCTTCATTTTGATCAATATTTCTATCAACTAGAAGAAAAATAAAAATATATATTACATATAATAAAATTTGAGGAATTTATGAACTATTATTCAACGGGAGTATATTCTATTTTGTTTTCGTTTAATACTCAAATTTTGATAGATTCATAAAGATATAATTAGATTAAATATTAAATTATAATAAAGCATTATATCAAACTACTCACCGAGAAAATGATGCATGAAAGCTCTAGAAATGTCACGATCATGCATGTTTTGAGTGACATGCTATGAACTGACAAAGAAAAATATATTAAAAAGAAAAAGAAAGTCATACTTAAGCTAAAGAGAAATATTGAACTGGAAAATTATTAAAAGCTTGCTGTCTCCTTAGAACTTCCTCCAATACTTAAGATGTTAGTTGTTGAAATATTAGCTAGACTGGAACAATTGCGATATTTACACATGATTAGTTAGAACTTATTGAGTTTTACAAAAATCTCTTTATTTAAAAGAAGAATATTCCAATTGACAAGAATTATATAAAGGAAATAGATTCGACTTTTTTTTCAAGCATTTCTTCTCTTGTAGAAGCTTGAAAAGATTATTTTTAGACTAAGTACGCAAAGCTACGTTTAGAAACATGAATTTCAGATTGTTCTAGCATAATATGATAAGAAATACATTTGTGTTTTGTCTGGCTTTTCTCTTTTGGATAAATGATGTAAAATTTAGAAGGACCAAAACGTTTTTCGGAAAGGTACCGCCTGGTTTTGGATTTACCGAGGAGGTATTGTAAGGAGATCGCTTTTTCTGTCTGAAATTTTAAAAACTTTTTCTCTACAAAAAATATCCAAATATGAGCCGATACGATTTCTAATGGATTTCAAAACACATTTTATGACCATGATCACTCCTCTTTCATGAAATCTGAAACCTATCATTGGTGCCACCCTAAGCTGTCTAAAATACAGAAACATGTAAGATCTAGAGGATAACTTCCTTAAAAAACAGTCAACAATGTACAATAACTAGTACATGAGAATTCCTAAATTATTAAGAAATTATCAACAGATCTATAATAATCATGCTAAAAACCGAGCATTGACTATCAGTTCTCTTATAATTCTAATGAGAACACTATGACTGAATAGCAACATTTTAATAAACACTTGCTCTTGTCGTTAATTAGTGGTTATGAAAAGCTCAAAACTTCTGCATTAGGCTCTCGTTCTTTTCAGAGCTATAGCTAACAATAGTTATAAGGCCGATATCGGTCTACTGAATGTATCGCTAGGTACTAGAAAATACCGAAATGTAGCCGAAAGGCACGTATAGTCTTTTTCTTTTTCTTTACAGTTTCAATATGCGCACTGGTTTTGTAGACCTCGATATGTATCTTCGTTCATGTCTTCATTTATTATGGATGTGGAAATGAAAAATATTATTAATTACGTGTTATGATAATTTTAAAAATCATGAAATTGTCGTGAATTCCTAGCAATCATCGCGATAGGCTATATGTTTCAGAGAGATTTTTCTTCTTTCTTTTTTCAAATTGGAGTTTTCATGGAAGAGAGGAGAGAAAATATTTGATTAACATGCTGCTAATTGACTCCAATAGAAGTCAGTTCTTTAATTTTTAAGATAAAGTTCATTCGATTTCAACCTTTTTGTTTAAAAAAACAATTGTTTTTCTTCTAATTTTTATATAAATTATGGATCTCACAGCTACTAGAAATCGGCAAGTTTTATTCTGTAATTATTTGGAAACTTTTAAATAAAAGCTGAACAATTGTTCGGTTTCATAGCATTCTTCATCTACACACAAAATCGAATGAAATATGTAAGATGAATGTCACTGAAGTGAAACAATATAAATAAGTCTAGCAACCGATTGGATTCTTTGAAACTAATCAGCAATCATTGTGATTAGTGAAAAATTTTTGTTAACAAGTAAATTACAATATTCTAATAAAAGGTCGCCGTAAGTGGTGAGTTTGATCGTGTAGAAATCCTTTCTGTGGGAGACATATACTTTTAATAGTGCTATTCTGTGCTGAGTTGAACTGGACTAGCCTAGCAATGAATGACCTGATACTTACTCCTCAATTGTTAAATAATCGTCATCAAATTATGTTTGAGCCGTCTCTAATTTACATTTCTAAATACGGTTTGATATGCTCTACCTAAAAGTTACCTTTGCAGCATTCGACGATAATAATTGTGATTTTAATAGTTTGTTGTAAATTTCATTTTAAAGAAAACCCTAATACATAGTTTTATAGAGATCAACAAGCTCTAGCATATCATGTAAAAAACATAATTCAGAAAAAATTTTCTTCTCAAATTTTCCAGTTAACGGTATTTTTTTTTTAATTTAATTTCTGTAATGAGACATTAAACTTTTTCTGAAAAATGATACGACTGAATCAATATGAGAATGTAGGAATATGTCAGATTTTTCCACTTGTTCACAAAGAGCATGAATGTATGAAGAATAAAAATATCAAATTTCTAATAAGATTAAGTTTCAATAAATATGATAAACTAGAATTTTTCACGAGTTTAACTCATCCTTCTCAATAGATATGTAACAAAGATTAACGAAAATATATAAGTCATTAAATATTCTCTCCATTGAATAAGATTTCAATTACATTTTCATTTAATCCTTCTTAATCAAAAAATCGATGGTGGGCGAATTACATCAAAGAACTAGCGCTTTAGTAGTTTCTAAAAAGACCGAAAAATAAATACACAAACAAATTGCTAATTCTTCGAAGAGACCTTGATGCTCATTAATCTGAATTAGCATACTGTGCCAACTCTGTACGGCAAAACTTACGAAAAAACATTCTCAAGTCTTAATTCGCTTCTGCCTTGAGACTAGAGATGTGCAGAATTAAAATTTTTGGTCTCATTTCTACTTATGTTATTTCTAGTAGTTCGTAATTAAGCCTCAATAGATCTAACCTAGTCCCAGTTCTAGAGTTTTTTAGTTTGTTAGGTGCCGATCTGCAGAAAACTGTTCCAGGATTTGTTCTTAAGTTTCAATTGAGAAAAATTTGTTTCATAGTTCTGTTGTTAATTTGAGCGACTTCTTTTTATCACTTGGAAATTTTCAACTTACAAGCTGAGTCCTGTACATCTCTAGTCAAGATCATGTGTACAATGTATATCTTAATATCCTATGAGTGCCTAAGGAAGGCCTCATTTTTACAACTTTCTCCTGATGAGATATCGAATTCTGTCTACATCTACATTCCAAGTGACTTAGCTTGCGTAAACAATTTCGAAATATTTGGATAAAGTCGTTTCGAAATACTACAACTTTTATATCTTGTAGATAATATGTTCGAAAATGTTTATACAGGTTAAGCTCATTGAGTTATTTATGTCAATGAAATCTTTCTAAGTCATTCATAATTCATTGGAATCTACATGATCTATAGTATCGACACAAAATCATAATAATACATGTACATATTCTCTTGTCAAGTACTTTTAGAAAGCAAATAAAACAAACGAATGTTTTCTCTCATCTGATAAAAGTGCTTATTTATAATGATAAGAATAGTACATAAAACTCAAAGAGGCTTGTCTTATTGACTTTCTAGAAAAAAAATCATTACCTTCTTCTTTAATTTCATGTTCTGATTGATTATCATCGTTTGTTGTTTCATTTTCATTTTGATCCATCGCTATGAATAGTTTATCTTCATTGTCTCCATCATTCATATTATCACCATCGTCATCTTCATGACAATCATTATCATTATTATCACACGTTGTTTCTAATCAAAAGTCATCTGTTATTTTTTTTTGGTTTTTAAATATTGTTGGAACTTACTAGTAAATCGACTGTCATTACCATCAAAATTTTCTGTATCTTCAATATTAGGTATAAAACAAGCTAAAAACAACAATCTTTGAAAAAATACGAATAAACTAAAAAAATTAAACTAAACGATTTTTGTTCTTTCTGCGTCGTTTTATTCTGGAATGTGGTGTTACAGATGATGTAGAAGACTTTTGTTTTGATTGATACTCTTGATCCTCTGTAACAATGATGAAACTTTCACTGTCGTCGTCATCATCATGATAATCTTCTTCTATTCTATCTTGTTGTACATCTCCATTTGATGGAATGATACATTTACAACCTGGACAATGATATTGACTTAATTGTTTTTTTAGTTTTTTATTAACTGCTATTAACTGTTTATATTTTTGATAGATTTTATTGACATATGTTTCATTAATTTCATTAGAAGCATTGATTATTTCATCAGTTAATTCATAAAGTTCGGCAACACGTTTTCGCGCTTTTATGTCGATTGCTATTGAAGGTAAAAAAAGAATAGATACATATACATATACGTGTGTATATAGGAAAAAATATGATTCCCACCCGAATCCGACATAGGATGTAACCTTGTTGTGCTCGTACGTTTTTCCACCATGTGTTGTCGGAACTGAATGAATAAAAAACAACAAACGACCTTCCCAGTTCTGTTTTGATTAATAGATGTCGCTGTTAATTATTCTAAAACTAAAATTATTTATTTGAAAATGTAAAGAAAAAAAATTTAAAAAAAAATATATACTAATTTACATTTAATTTCTTATCAAATAATCTGTTGATATGACAACAAACCAATCAATGAAACGATATGATAGCACTTTTTAATAGTTTTCTTTTATACAAACTGCAACATAAAGTATCAAATACAACATGAAAAAATAAAACGACTTTTAGAAAATTTTTATTCATGAATTTTAGACTGAATATCAACGAAATTATCAGCATCGATCACCAAAAAGGGTGTGGGTGTTCTATCTTCAGCGACATCCCTACCCACACCCAGACTCACTCCCATACCTTCGTCATGCTCTACCATCACTATATCGACATTATACAAATGATGATGATTTGATTGCTATTGGACTAAATGATAAATTTTCGTCGTCATCGCTTTAGCGATAAGAAAATAATTTAAAAATTATTCTCGCCTTGCAAAATCACAAAACTATATTGTTTTAAGAAAGAAATGAGAAACTTGAAAATAATGTTACTTATCAATTAAGAAACCCTATTATAAGTGAATCAGCTGGAGTAAGAAATTTTCCTAATTTTTTTCGAATATAAGAGAATCTACTGATTAAAATGACCACTTGTAGATTGATTATAAACATTAAGCGATACATAGAACTTCATGATGGCGAAAAACCACAATCCTCTTAGTACCATCAATATTAAATTATAATACAAAGAATAAAATTTTCAAGATGAGACTTAATCAATGACAATCTTTTATCTTAAATTTAAATGTATGAAGTATTTTAGAAAAATGGAATTTTCTTGTTTTTGAAATTCACTAATTGAATTCATTTGATTTTAAATGAATTCTAATAAGTTGAATATCCGTTTCAAATACAAATAAAAAAAAAAATAAAATTCAATGAATTTTTCTGCAATATCTATCATGAATATAAAATTATTGAATATCGAAATTCATTTGAATTATTGATTGAAATTTATATTATATGTTTGAAAATGATTTTTCCAGTAATACTTTTATTGATTGAAAACTTCTTTTTTTTTTTGATTTTTCAAAACATTCTTCAAGTTTTATTAATGTTTGCTTATTTATTTAACAAATATCGTTCTATTTACATGGTAACTTATTTGACATAGAAACTTGTAAACTAAAAAAAAACATCATTTATTTCATCAAGTGTTTTGAAATCTATTAGATTATAAAAAGTTCTCATCAACAATAAATTCTTGAATAACTTCATTTAGTTTAGATAGAAAAAACTTTTAGTTTTTAGAATAAATTCAAATTTTGATACTGTTTTGAAATTATTAACAAAAACTTTTCATTTGGAATAAATAAAGGATATTTGAATGAATTTCACAATGACGACAACAGTCTCTTGAAAATTCATTTTATGTCTATCTAAATGTGTTGAAGATCATTTCGTAACATTATTAATATAAAATAGCGAAAATTTTGTATAATTCTATAAAGAAAACATAATTTACAATTAAAAATCCTACTGTGGCTCGTGAAATCGAATTACTTGCAAAGAATAATATCATCTGAAATATTTTAATTTGTCATTGGAAATAAAGAACTGAATTCTTCATATACAGATAAAAACTATTTCTAATTTTTTTACTTTTTGTATTCTTTTCGAGAGAGAAGGCTGAAATCATGTAATTATCTTTAGTTAAACTACCTGGAGATGATTTGCAATTCAATAATAAGAAATGAAAAATTTTCTTCTTTAAAATCTAATTGCTTCTCAAGTTAGTTCCGTGTTGTTAATTCTTATTAAAAATTTAAAATACAAATTTTATTTTGAGAAAATTGAAAACTATTTTCAATGTTTTGTCTTAAATTTACATTGAATTTTGAATATAAATCATAGTTGATTCATTACTTTATTTATGTAAGAGATGTAACATTTTCATTATGATCATTCTTCATATATTTATGTCACTGTAAGATGTTCTTTTTTGGTAATATTTAATTTTATTCAATAGCATTCAACAGAATGTTTCGATATGTAATTAAAATCTTCAGTAATAAATTGTTACTACACTTTAATATTGAATATGTTAACAATATCAATAACAGAAATATGATCTCACATTTTGAAATACTTTTGCTTTATTGTTTAATATGAATTAGACATTAAGAAGAGATTAAATGAAAATTTCTTTTATTTTAATTCCATTCTTTGATCAAAGTATATTTATGAAGCAAAGTTATGTCAACGGATATATATAAGAACCACACCCACATCCATACCCTCAATATGTAAGTAATGTTGCTATATGCTTTTAAAGGCATCTCTAAATATGAAAAGTTTAATGGATAATTGTAAAAATGTCTCAGATGTTCAACCAGAGAAATTGAAAGAAACTACGGAGCAAAGTGACGAGTAACAAATAAGAGTTTATTGTATTTATATTTCTCTTAGATAAATAATTTCATTAATATGAGACAGAAGGGTCATTTTTTTAATACTTTATGTCACAAGTTTTTGACAGTAATAAAACTATTCATCGACAGCTTGTTTTTTTTTATTTCACCGTGATATTTTAGATGATGTCAGTTTTGAACTTCTCAAAATATTGGCTAGAAAGAAACTAAAACAAAAACTGAACAGAATCTTTATTAGAATAATGTGTCTACCTTATAACTTCAGTTTATGTTAGTAATTCAAAATCTTTACTTTGAAGTTGGCTCAGTTATCGAACAAAAACTGTTGTCAAGGATAAAAAGTATTGTAAAAATTATTCATTATATTTATGATTATCAATCCTATAACCATCATAAACTTGTCTTTTCAAAAAAGACAAAGTATGTGAAGAAAATTATATTTTTCACCCGTATCTTTTTTTTGCTTGATGTCTGATGAAACTACAAATTCTGGAATTTTGTTTTTTATTTGAGCAAAATAATCGAACAGTATCGAAAAAGGTGGATTATGATAATAGCTATATATGCGTAAAAAGCCATTGATTTATTGGTTTTACTAATATTTTAATATAGACTGCTTCTATTTTGATTATTTAATAAAATCATTTTTAATTTACTCCGTTCTTCATTCAACTAATTTTTTTTATTCGTAGTCATAATCAAAACCTAAGAAAGACTGATCTAATGCCTTTTCAAGGATAAAAAGAGCATCAGGAAATAAGAACTGTTTCGGATATAGTCTATAATGGAAGTTACATAAAACTTTGATTAGCAAGGCAAAAATTTGCAATGGTTTTATGACTTACATAGACTAGACTTCGTTTCAATTGAGCGAGGGTGTAGGTGGTTGCGGAGTGTGGATGCGCGTGTAGATATTCTGTAAATCTTAGACCAAATCCACACATATATCAATAATATCATTTTCATCACTACTACTATATTTATCATTATTTTAATGATATAGCTTAATAGATTTTATATCTTGAAGAGAAGATTTCTTTTCTACTTCTTTACTTTCAATATTAACAAGATTTAAGTTAGGACTTAATGATGGATTTTTATCAATTAGAATCTCTTTCTTTTTCACGATTCGTCATCATTTTCTATTATTATCGCTTAATTTAATCTTTATCTCTTAATATATACAATAATGCATCTTGCTAAATAAAAGAATCATATAAATAACGAAAGCGCAAAACAGAAACGATGTTTTCGACAGATGAAGGAAGGAAAATACCATTTCTTTTTATAAACAGTGACAACGATTTGGGATACATTCATTGTCTGAATCACTCATATTATATACTTCATATTCATTTGTGAAATATTCATATATATTTTGAAATTCAAAATGTCAGTACAATATTTTAATTTATTATTAAGCTGTAATAATTACATCCGACGTGATATTAAGAAATTATAGCAAGAAAAAGGAAAGATTTTAAAATACGTAATAAATAATACGATAAATATAAAAGAAAAATAAATTAAGATAAATTTTTTAGAATCAATTAATAGAAAAATATGATCAGTTTATGAGTCAAGTAGAAATACGACTTGCTGCAATAAAACAGCAAGCTATTATATTATCAGGAGAAATAAATGAACGTTTGCCATTTATTTCGAGATCATTTAGGAAATAGACAAGTATTAAGCTATAAAAATATAGTTGCTACACTTTATTATCATATTGCATATATTAACAATTTAGTTAAGAACAGCAAATAATAACTGATAAGATGAATATTGTAAACTGAAGCAAAATATCTTTGAGATTCAATTTGCAATCTCTATTTAAGATTGGATATTCAACAAAATAGTTTGTCAGAAATTCCCGAAAATGCAGTCGTACTTGTCAAAACTGGAAATTCTAATGAACAGATCAGTTATTTTGAAGGGAATGGCTTTTGGATTAACGATGGAATAAATTTAAGATCTATTAAAATTCGAAATATTATTCTTGAGAACATAAGATTTTATGATAAAAGTGGGCTAATTCAGAAAAATGAAAGAAATGCAAAACAAGTAGAAAGTATTACTAAAGCTGCGCATGTGCAATATGGTCGTACATCCATTAATGTAAAATATTACGTATTAAACATAAAAAAAAAGAGAACAGCTGGAACAGAATTCCGAAAAAAAAGATAAATTCCTAGTAATACCTATGATTTTGTTAATTATGCCAAAGTTACTTTAAAAAATACTGCAAAATCGATATTTAATGAATTTAGGCATGAAACTTTTTTGGGATAAATAATTTGCCATCAGTTCTATTTAATCTTTTATCTGAAATAATTGAATGTAAATTAGATACTTGTTTTCATAGTTCAAGCTGAATATTACATGGATGTATGAAGAAATATGGCTCGACAAGATTTTAAAAAATCTAAAAGAAAAAGAAGATCACTGGGAAAGTTAATTTTGGATTTCTGACGACATAAAAGAATTTTTTTAATTAGATATTTGTA